CTAACAACTACTACGTTACTAACTAGTAAGACGTAACGTAAACTAAGAAGTTAAGTAAGTAGTACAACTATACTAACTAGCTACAGTACGATAGTAGTAGGTAGAGAGAGAGAGAGAGAGAGAGAGAGAGAGAGAGAGAAGAAAACATTGAAAATGGTTCTCAATACTCATAATTACACTTCCATGTCAGTGCATTTTTAATTTGGGCTGCTCTCCTCAGGGTTTTTCTCCATTATAGTTTGTCAAATAACTTTCACCCCCCCAACATTGTGGGGAGCTTAAAAAGCCCTGAACCTCTCTTGCAAAAAGAGAGAGATTTTCATCTTTTCTTTTTTCATTTTCTTCATAGTTGATGAGTAGAGAAGAATTTTCATAAGAGAAGACCAGAGGATAAGTTAATCAAATTTCCAATTTTGCGAGAATATGCCATTCATGATTGTTGACGAGCATGTCTTCATCATCAGCAGGCAATCTCCTTCATATTTTCCCCTATTGTCAAGTTTCCTTACACCCTAATGTTACGCTCCAAGGACCTTTGAAAAGCATTTTCTAATACCTTTCTTACAGGAAAAAGGCTTCATTGTCTACCATGAACTCTTATATTCCTACAAGATCTCAGAACAATATAGCCTGATCTCATATAACAGAGGTTTCAGAGGACTCATAAACCAAAAGTAGGTGCATTATGAAAAGATATCCGGCATTTGGGTAATAAATCAGATTACAGAGCACCTCACTTGTAATAAGCGAAATGGAAACACATGTCAGGTAATATAGGAATACAATATCAAATACACTACAATTTAAACTTTCGAGAATGTCATTACTACATAATACTGGAAAAAATAAAAAATCCCAACAGAGAAAAACTAATGAAATAAGGAACCCTCCCAACCCTTGATAAAGAAGTTGGACGTTCTCCAATGAAGAAATAGAAAAAGGAAGGAAAGAAAGAGAAGGGAGTAGTAGCACGATTAATAGAAGGGAGTAGTCTCAGACGGAGGAAAATCTAAGGTGGAGTCTGAACTCTGAAGTGAAAAAATCTGTACAAAAAGAAACTATGCATGTGGTTCATAGTACCATGCAGGGCAGAACAGTTACTTGCAATACTCCACATTCACTTGATAAAAGAACACTAAGGGCATGCTAAGGAGTTGTCTACAATTAAAGGAGCTCTGCATATAGGCTACTGCGAAACAGAATTGCATGCATGCTAAGGAGTCCTCCTCAATTACAGGAGCTCTGCATAGAGGCTACTGCTAAACACGATCGTGTATGTATTGGACTGTAATAGAGATAGTTGTTCCCTTGCGCAAATTTTTGGAATCATTTTTTGGTCCTGCAGATTTTTATCTCAAAGGCAAACATAGGCGATAAGATGAGAGAAAGTAGACTTAGGTTGGTTGGCCATGTGTGGCGCAGACCCAATACATCACTTGTTAGGAGGTACGAGTTAGTTCAAGTGAAAGGCTCACAAAGGGCAATGGGTAAACCCAAAAAGACGTGGTTGGAAGTAATGAGAAAAAATATGAGGACTTATGGCCTCACTGAGGGTATGGCCCTTAATAGAGTAGAACGGCAGACCAGGATTCATGTAACCGACCCCAATTAGTTGGAAAAAATCTTTGACGACGATAACGATGAATAAAAGTATCAGACCATAAACTAAATATAGAGTTCGACAGAGATCCATTTAAGAGGTCAAACAGACAACAACATCAACATTACAGGATGTGAAAATACACAAAACTGAACTCTTTTCTTCTCACATTTGTCCTCTTAAATCTCAAATAGAGAAAGCGTTAAAAGAATTCTAGAGGGTAAAACCTCTTCTGAGAAAAAGAACATAAAAAGAAACCCCAAATGAGTGTTCCACGTAACAAAATTACAAAAATTAACGAAGCATTGGATGCCAAGGAAATTGTCAGCCAAGCTTCCACTATTACTATAATGGAAAGAAACAACGATGGCTTGCCACATTTTTTTGTGTTCTTGCTAACCAATCATGGAACTTACATTTCAAAGCATTCTGTTTTTCTCCTCTCCCTGAAAAAGCAGGTACATGGAACATGGCCCCAGTAGGGACCAAATGTCCTCCCAGTTCTAGTGGAACTTGAAGCATAGCTAGAGACCTATGTGTTTAGCCATCATCACTACGAAAGGTCCTATATTTCTATGTAATACGCAGTCATTAATTCCATTTCCAGGTCTGCAATTTCTGATGCCTCCACCATCACAATAACTAGGAACTTCACCCACTTCGCAATCAGCTCACTCATAAGTTCTACTCCAAAATGTCATTTGAAAATTCCCACATAGGATAAACCTCAAAATTGTTTTCTCATCACCTGTCTATATTCAGCCATAACCCTATGGAAAGAATGGATTATGTACTCACAAAGACCCACCCATGCCTCCTTCAACAAGGGAAAACACCTCTATTTCAAAACCCCAACAACCACCAAATGCAATCCTTATGAACCACATTTTTGCTCCTCAGCATCTGACAAGAATCTCACTCCATCCATGAACAATAACTCACAAAAATGCGAACCCCAGAAGCATGACACTGCTCAATATACTTTACACCAAGAAGGAAAGATATTCTCAAGCTTTTTTCAAGAGTTAAGAGAGCTGAAGGATCTAAGCAAATAGAAACATGTCTTGTTAGCTAAAACATTACTCAATGAATAAGAAAATAAAAGTGCCTAAATGCAGAAAACAAATATGGGGCAAACCAATGTTTTCCCAAATGCATACTTAATAGTTTGAGGAAAACAAACGCCTTTATAACTATGGCTACAACCGCATCTAAAACAGCATAAGACAGGTCACAACAGAAAAAAAGACAGTTCAGATTTTGTATATTCCTTCACGGAAAGATAAATTTTAAGATAATCAAGATCGAGAGCTTAATGCTTAAGGTCATACAAAAACATCCCGATCACAAAAGAACACCAATCCTGCCGATATTTTAAGTAAGACCACAAGTTCCCAGCTTGAACATCATACATTGACAAAGAGACTTAAGTACATCTCATAGTGTTAAGCTTAGATTCTCTCACCTAAGAAAAAAACAAAAGCCATTGAACACAAATGTGTTCTCCTAGCCTCGAAGAATTTCATGAGACTACCTCTTTCCTCTTAGGCCCTAAAAGAAAATAATTAATGTCACGACTGGTTGAACTGTCACCAAGTTTGTCATAACCATACTATGCTCAATCACTCATATCACCCCCGTATTCAAGATCGAATCCACAAAGCAACAGCAACAACAATCGCTACAAATTACATTAACAAAAAAAAAGAATGCAAAAAGCCAAATGATGAAACCGCAAGGTGTTCAAGTTCACGGGAATCTCAGATATTTTGAGAATTTATGGTCATAAGCTATGCATCCAACAGGTTGAGGAGGCTCCATTAAACAAATTAAGTTGTTTCCAAAATTAATTAGACAGGGAACTCGTATGGTGAAATCAAGCAATAAAACAAGGTTTCAGGGATCTTAATAGGGACAAAGAAATAAATTCATGTTGGGTTTTCGAGCAAGTTCTGATGTAAATATTAGTTAAACTTAAGTGAATATGGAATATTTATGAGAGAGAAAATTAATGATGTGCCTGATACAGGTTTTTATGATAGATAGAAAGTACTGCTCTTAAAGTGGCTCAGAGAGTACATTAGAGAGAGAGAGAGAGAGAGAGAGAGAGAGAGATTAGCTATAGAGGAGCACAAATTTAGAGAGCGAGAGAGAAAGAACCCATTCAAGTACTACTAAAAAAAGTATTATCTAGCCAAATTAATTTGCATAAATGACAGAGAATCAAAATTTTATCTAGGCCAAATGAGTTGCATAAGAGAAACAAATATGGCGAGAAACACAGGTAGAGAGAGAAAGAGAGAACTCTTTCACCCATAGGGCACACTTAAGTAGCCCAAATGATATGAATAAGAGAGAGAAAGGGAACGACATTTAGAGAGAGACAGAGAGAGAAGATCACCTCTCATTCCTCACAGCGAGATTAAGCAGAGCGAGGAGCGAGGCCTCTTTGGCCTCAGCGTTGGGCAAATTGAGCATTGAAACCAGTGGTTGAATGACCCCAGCTGCTGCAAAATTTGCTCTTGTTTTTACAGAGGTCTTTGACAGCTTCCTTATGTCCCTTGCAGCCTGTATCTGGTTTTCGAGGGTGCCATTAAATAGGGTTTTGGCTGCTTCTTGTACGAGAGCCTGTTTAGTGAGAGTCCAGGCTTCCTCTTCTCTATCTTCTTGTTGCTGATGCCTCCCCATTTGGAGGGCGTGAGAGAAGGCGGCCTATCTTACAGGGACGTGCCCTTTTGTAGATGGATAGAGAGAAGCCTCTTTTCTTTTACCGAGAGGGGGAAGGGCAGAAGGCTTTGTAGAGAGAGAGAGAGAGAGAGAGAGAGAGGAG